GGTCAATTGCGAAAGGCACGAGCTGAGCTGAGAGAAGTGTCTCATGACTTGCACAAGGCTGACTTGGAGTCCAGGAAAAATTCTGAAGAAGTAACTACACTGGAGACACTTCGGGAGATTTCTGTATCTCACCGCCAGCTCCTTGCTGCAGTTAGTAACCTACCACGTCTCTATAAAGGTTAGTGATTCCCTGCCCTTTTCAGTGCACAGGGGTGTTCAATCCTTGTCTTGGAGCCCAACATCCTCAAGAGTTTAGCTCCAACTTGTCTCAACATACATGCCTGAACATTTCTAGTTTTCCTGAAGACCTTGATTACCTTGGATCAGTTGTGTTTTTAAATTGATGATGGAGCTAAACTCTGTAGGTACAGCGACACTCCAGGAGCAGTATTGGACACCACTGCCATAGAGCTAAACATTCTCAAGTACATAAAAGTACTTGAAAACAAGCACTTCTAGCTAAGCAAGTTAAATTTTATGAGTCACTGCATTCCAAAGTGTGGTCATTAATAATGTAACACAAGTATGCACACTGCATCACCACTATGGCACTATAGTGTAAAATGTCTTGGACTCCAATTAAGTTTTTTTCTTTTAGGTCTAATAGCAGGGTAGAGCAAGAACCTTGCTGAGTAACAAAATTGCTATTAAGGTCGACATGTTTACAGCTAGATAGCTAAATTGTAACACATATCTATCACACACTTAAGTACTGATGTTTGCCAGAGTAATGCAAGATTACACTCTAAGTATGTACATTGGGGCTATCATTTGCTATGCCATCTTTTTCATGTCAGTGCGGAGTATGGTGCTAGAGACAGAGAGACTAGTGGAGTCTCGGAGACTATTGGAAGCTCATGCTCGACTAATGGAACTAGAACGCTGGCAGGATGAGGTACTGCTACAGCTTCAGGGACCCAGGGGATCATCCAGGACGGGGTTAACCTCTGAGGATGAGGAGTTAGTGCGGAATTATTTCTCAGGTGTTGGACGCTTGGTGGATGCCCTTGCCAAGGAGCTCTGGGCAGTGGTGGGGAGTGGGTTGTCACTTGCCTGTCAGAACCCCACGCTTTTTGTGTCAGCTGTACGGATAGTAGAGCGTGAAGAAGCACTAGATCAGATGTTTCTGGAGGAGCGGAGGTCAACATCGGGACAGAACACACACATGCCCCCTGGGAGACCACGTTGCTGGAGGAACCGCTTCTTCAAGGTTTGATGATAAGCAAGTTTCCTATTGGTAGAAGTACTGGGAAAAAAAATTGTAAGATGACAACTAAATTTTAAGTGTAAAAAGGCTTTTTTAAATTCACATAATATGTACCTGTTCTACTATTTGGTCAGGTGATGGAGGAGGCAGTGTCGGCCCGTTTCCGTAGCGTGTCGTACTTGCACACTCGTGGACCAGGGCTTGCAAGTCACTTGTCTGCTCTACAGCACTGCATTATGGGAGACCTTTCAACAGTGCGGCATTTTCTCGAACAATGTGTTCCATCTCACTACCGTCTAACAAGAGCTTATCTGCGCTTCTGCCACCAGTTCTTGCAGAACCATCTTGGACTGGTTAGTGGATGGGAGCTAGAGGGTGGGGAAATCTTCGCTGTTCTTAACTGGGTTCTGCACATATACAACAGGTAAGTAAAGATTATGCTTAAATCAGAATTTGGTCTATGGGTAATCAGAAAGTCCTACACGAGAACTTGTTCTTTAAGCTCAGAGATGATGGGTGAGCCAGCCCTTGTAGCTGAGCTAGACATTGAGGACACGGGACCTCTCATATCCCAGGAAGGTCTCGAGCAGCTGCAGAATAAATATGTCCAAAAAGTTCGGGTAAGACCCAAGGAGGGGTTTTAGTCTCTAAACTTTTTAACATTTACATTATCTTGTCGGAATTAACAGGCCACAGGTTCTTGAGAAATTTTACTGTGATTGTTTGTAGAAGAGTGTCTCAGAGTGGATGCACAAGTCTCTAGAGGTGGAGCTGACAGACTGGCAGAGGGATCAGGAACCAGATATTGACCATGAAGGCTGCTATCACACCAGCCTTCCAACCATCATTGCTCAGGTAATAAAGCAATGACTTAATCTACAATAAGCAACATTTTGGCACTGATATACATATGAACTGCTCTGGTGTCTGTGTTGTTAGATGCTAGAAGAAAATGCACGGGTGGCTTTGATGATAAGTGAAGCTCTGCGGGACCAGACAATCCAAATGGGGCTTTATGAGATGGAGAACCTCCTCAGCCGGTGTGTATAGCCTATTTAGCAATACCAGCAAATCAAAACTCTTATTGATTATATCCAACATTTTATACTTTCCTCTCACTACATCTAAACAGATTTCGAGATGCAATCATAGAATTTGGGAAGAAGCATCACAGGGATTCAGCCATAAACAGTAACAAGTTCTACCTCCATTATCTCCTGGCCTGCATCAACAACTGCATCATCCTCAAGTGAGATGGTGTACACGTATCTTTTTACAGTATGTCTGTATTTATGTGATGTTTGTTTGAAAATGTGTGCGTTTTAAATTGTTTTGTGTGCGTTGGAGTTACTTGTAAGCAGTAATTCTCAGATTTAAATGCCCATCTAGAACCTCCACAGAAAGCCTGCAGCAGCAGTTGTGCTCCTTCCCTTCAAACCGGTATTCTCGCATTTCACTTGGACCTCTGGCTGCCCTGGACCGTGCTGTGAGAAAAGCATGTCGCTTAGTCATGGACCATCTCTTGTTTGAGTTGCAACCTCATCTACAGGAGCTCCTGTCTCGTACCTGGCTGGACCAGGGAGAAGTAACCCCAAATATGTGTGAGGTTTTAGAACGTCACTGTGAACTTTACAACAGGGTGCGGCAACCTTGTCGCCAGGTTAGTGTTTACACCAGGCATTAGAAATTATGTAGACCAAACAATAAAATGAGTGAATATACTGTATTTACCCACAATGAAAAATGGCACCCAAATAGCCTTTGCATCATGTGATCTCCATTATCTACAGAGGCTAAAGGAGGAATGTCAGTGGCTAACTGTTGTTGAGTATGTCCGTACACTGATGCAGAAGAGAGTGGTCTGCAGAAATAGTGATGAGCGAAACCAGTTGGCCCAGCGATTGACACAGGATGCTCAGCAGCTGAGGGACCACCTTCAAAGCATGGTGAAAGCACATTTACATTAATTTTGGGGGGAATTTTTTATGTGGTTTAGGAGCAAGTCTTCTGGCAAGTACACCCAGATAGATAGATTCGGCTTTGACTGAAACAAATGCTTACAATGAGTTCAATTAAAAACATTAACAAATAATAATCAAATTATTGATTAACTGCAAACCTGAATCAAAGCTATTCATGAGAAACTGACTTGAACTTGCACAAAACCGGCAATTTATTGGATCTTATCAGGCTTGGGTCAGGTAGCAAACCTCTAGGAAAAACATAAGAACAAGTCTATATACGTTTGTGGAAATGAAATTACTCTGAGAATTTCACTCATTTAATGCCATTTTTACATTTAAAGGAAATTGATGGGACCATAGGTGAGGTGAATCCCATAGCTTTGATAATTGCACTGGCTGACATAATCAATTTGAAAGACCCAAACATGCTAATACTGGAGATTTCTGGATTGGTAACCAAGTACCCTGATATAAGGTGAGATTTCAAACCCAGTATACCCAGCATATCTTCAAAATGCATTTGTAATACAGAGATTAATCTATGCCAAGAGACTTATAAAGTGTGTCTTTTTAGTGAGGAGCATGTCTCTGTCCTGATGGATGTAAGAGGGGATGTACCCAAAGACGTGCGGAAGTCAGTACTAGATTTTCTGGAGCAGAGCGCCCCACCTTTACCACAAGGATACCGCTCTATATTCACAGAAATCCTTGTGCCCTCTTCCAGCATACAGTTTTGTCTGCCTACTGCAAAATGCACTTGAGAAGCACTCAGAGAAATAACCCTACTGAATTGTATCCGGCCTAATAAACAGGAAATTCATTATTAATTCATCAGGATTCAATAAGACTAGCCTACTCATTATCTGATCTGTCTTGTCTGAAATTATACTGTGCCCAAATAATATTTACATTTATGATCTCACCAGATGCTTTCTTACAAATGAAAGTGCATAAACAAAATTTACATTCAAGAAATGTTAAAAAATCTTGTTAGTTCTCCAACATGTATGGTAGCAACAAGAGAAAGCAGTGCACATTTTGGCTCATTGTATTTTTAAATATTTGAGGGTGATCATTTTTTCAATGTAAATGTATAACAAAGTTCATGTTACCAAACATAGCATTCTCAAAGCCATTCAATCAATTGTTTTAAAACTTGTATATTGTGGTTCACTATGTATATTGTGGTTGACTATTGGTCAATAAAGCAATGCATATTAAGAAAATAGATATAAAACTGATTCATCAATTCATAAAAATTCATTAATTCAAGAGTATAACACTAACAACCAATAATTTAAATACATGTACATAAAATGGTACATTAATATAATATACCATTGTACGTCCACTGTACCATGACACATTATTTGACACATTATTTCAGCCATAGTAAGGCTAATATTGGACCCGTAGATCTGTACATTGAATAAAACAGGCTATAAAAATGAGGAATATATATACATATGTATATATATATATATATCAAGGTATTACTTTCGATGTTTGATGTTTAGAGGTATTCACCAATTTGGTTTCACTCAATCAATGGGCCAACAACACCATCAGCTAAAAGGTTATGAATCAAATATTCAGGCAATTATAAATATCGGTGATAAAATGTACCATGAAATTTAATATACAAACAATTGCTTCACAATTTATAAAGAACAACTATTATATGTTGTACAATCTTTTCACAAATCCACGAGGAGGGAACCACACATTATAATGTGAGAGCTAAATAATGTTCAACAACACAAAATATTGCCCAGCTACCTTCAAGACAAGGACAAGTCAAGCACTTACCTTGAATGAACATCGTAACTTTGACTTGTATGTTATCTGTTTCTGTGTTATTAACACAACGCATTACACACATATGTGGAAAAAAAGTATTGTGTATGTAATTTTGGCAACGGCTGAGGGGAAGCGGCCTTCAGCGGTCACGTGATCTTAGGGGCGTGACTTCATGAAAAACATGGCCGCGCCCGGCGAGATCATGTTGGATTAATCTATTTGTGAACGATCTAGGCATTATACTACAAAATACATTCATAAATAAGTTTGTTCACGTATAACTGAAGTGACAATGAAGACATTTTGCGGCCGTGCAAATCCAACAACCGGAGCGCTGGACTGGGTTGAGGAAAGCGAGGAGTATGATTACCATCAGGAGATTGCGAGGTGTGTAAACCATCTCATGTAACATCACCATGCGTCGACAACAACTGATCTTTGCCTGTTTCTGTAGAAGTGATCAATTCTATTGTTTAAAAAAAATAAATTTATCAAAATGACGTGATGAAAATACTTGACAGTGACTTGTTGCTATTTTTGTTCTTACACGTGGAAAGTGTGTTGTGGTAAAAGTGCTAGATTATCAATTACACTTACTCGAATTGTAGTCATGTGATATCCTATCACATAAAGGGGGTAAATTATCGGGACCTGTCCTGATAATGGTTGCTGTGTCTCTTTCCCAGGTCCTGCTATGCAGATATGCTCCATGATAAAGACAGAGTGAGTTTTGTTGTCATGTAATATCGCATAGAAATACTGTAAACCAAAATTGTTCCAAAACAAGTCTAGCTCCTCTGATAAAAATGGGAAACAGAAAATCAGAATCACATAACAGTGAATAAATTACAGAATGATTAGCTTAATTTGTCATATTTTCCAAAGCTTATAGACAAAGAAAAGCTGAAATGTTGCTATTGATTTTTCTGCTTTGTGTACTTAAGAATGAGAAATACTACGAAGGCATTCGAGCAGCGGTGAGCAGAGTAAAGGCACGCAGTGAACGGGTGGTGGTCCTGGACATCGGCACTGGGACGGGTTTGCTCTCCATGATGGCTGTGACGGCTGGAGCTGATTACTGCTATGCTATAGAGGTGCTCACTAATGCTCGTGTGTTGAATGTTGAGAAATAAGATGGAATTTGAATGAAGACAAATATATGAATCCCATACAGGTGTTTAAACCCATGGCACAGGCTGCTACTTGCATCGTGGAGAGGAACGGCTTCTCAGATAAAATCAAGGTCATCAACAAACACTCCACAGAGGTTACAGTTGGACCAGGTTAGCCAACCACCAACCACCAATATGCTTTTAACACAGGTAGATCAGATAGGTTCAGTGCATTGGTTTTATACAGTAGTAGTAATTATCCAACTGATAATTACAGTCCTGAATGTTGATTGATCATTACAGCTTTCAAGCCATATTAAAATATATGATAATACATTTTATAACTACCTCTTGTGTATATCACTGTCCAAAGATTTATTTTTTATTTTAATATTTTGTATATTAAATTTTATAGAGAATATATTAATAAATGTGTATATATATTGTATATAGTGTGTGTATATATATATATATACTTGTGTAATTTTAGTTTTTTATAATTTTATGCATAATAAATAATATTACTTATAATATATATATATATATAATAATACTAAATATACACACACACACACACACAAATCATAATGTTTAATTTTATTTTATATTTAAAAACATGATAAATATTTTAATGAAATTAATGATAAATAAAAATATTCAAATTATACTTATAATTGTAAAAGTTTACAATTTTATTTGTATTTAATATTTGATATGTTAATAATAATAAATAATATTATTATATATATATATGCCTAATATTATTATTTATCAAAATAAAAAATTAAGAAATTATATTTTGTATAGAAAAGAAGCTTATACTAAGTCCCATTATTTACTTTATTTTCATGGAAATAAACCTGTTAATTTTGTTTTTGAATTGTGTTTGTAATTCTCATTATTGTCATTAATAATTCTTATGAGATCCATTACTGAAATACACAAAATTCTCTCTGGTTCTCTCTGCATATGTAAAGAATAATGTAGAGATGTATAAATAATTTTCATATATTTTTGCATTATAGTATTAAATATATATATATACATATCTACGTGTGTGTCCTATCCTAACAAACCATACTTCAATGGAAAGCTTATTTATTCAGCTTTTGGATTATGTATAAATCTCAATTTCGAAAAATTGACCCTTATGACTGGTTTTGTGGTCCAGGGTCACTGTTTTTTTGTTTTTTTTTGCAAAACAGAGAATAAATATTATTGTTCTTTCTTGACATTAGTTTTTTAATAGTTTAATATTTGAATGCAAAAAAAAAAATATTAAATTAGTATATATATATACTAAAAAAGGGACTATTTTTTATTAATTCGAATGATTTATACAATGACAATATTAAACAATAAAAACATTTTTGGGTGAATGTCTTTGCTAGAGGTCCCTCTAATAGTAACATTGTATGACTAAACTATCTTTGACTTGGCATATTTGATTATTTTTCATCATGTGATGTGCAGTGGAGGGATCACTGGATGCAGAGTGTCTACTTCCTTCCTGCAGAGGAGGATGTGTCCGAAGGAGAAGAGCTTAATTTAATCGTCTCCCATGATGACTACAGTCTCTGGTACAGTCTTACGCAGAGGTAAGGTGATTTTGAGCAGTGTTTGTTTAGGCATGATAACAAGTTCTCGGCTTTAACTGAGACAGAATATTCACAGTCTCTGAGGAAGACTGTATTATATATACAGTTTTTTTTATCTGTTTTATAGTGAACAAAATGATGTCAAAGTGGCAAAGTTTCGACCATGCTGCACCTGTCAGGCCCACCTGGTCTGGACGAGGCCTCGCTTCGGGGAACTGAACGACGAACAGAGGACAGAGAGTTACTTGAACGCATTACGTAGTGTAAGCCAACTAATGATTTACATGTGAGCTTGAAGCGCCGCTTTCTGTTGATTGGAAATGGCTCAAAACATGTGATGTGCAGTGGAGGGATCACTGGATGCAGAGTGTCTACTTCCTTCCTGCAGAGGAGGATGTGTCCGAAGGAGAAGAGCTTAATTTAATCGTCTCCCATGATGACTACAGTCTCTGGTACAGTCTTACGCAGAGGTAAGGTGATTTTGAGCAGTGTTTGTTTAGGCATGATAACAAGTTCTCGGCTTTAACTGAGACAGAATATTCACAGTCTCTGAGGAAGACTGTATTATATATACAGTTTTTTAATCTGTTTTATAGTGAACAAAATGATGTCAAAGTGGCAAAGTTTCGACCATGCTGCACCTGTCAGGCCCACCTGGTCTGGACGAGGCCTCGCTTCGGGGAACTGAACGACGAACAGAGGACAGAGAGTTACGTGAACGCATTACGTAGTGTAAGCCAACTAATGATTTACATGTGAGCTTGAAGCGCCGCTTTCTGTTGATTGGAAATGGCTCAAAATTGAGTGTGTTTTCTGTATGCTTGCAGATTCTGAAACCAGACAGTGTGTGTTTGTCTGTCAGTGATGGGAGCCTGTTACCCATTTTTGCTCATCTGCTTGGATCTAAAAAGGTGAGTAGGCCTTTTTTTTTTTTGCATGAGTCAGAAGGTTCTCAAATTAGCGAGCTCCTTTCTCCCTACACAGAAAGCTGCCTTCTGAGGCAGCATCCTAAGCTTCATGGGAACTTTTAAGTAAGTTATATGCAACTCTATGCACTAGATGACTTGATTTCAGTTGCGTTTGATGATAGCATGTTGCTAAGTTATTAATGTTGGGTAAATAATCTGTTTTGAGGTAAACTAAACTATTTTTATTGAGTAAATTATACATTTTAAGTACATTATAAGCACCACACAACTTTCAGTTGACTTCAGTAGAGTTTGATGTTAGCATGTTGCTAAGCTAACAATCCAGTGTTGGGTTTTGAATGAAAATAAACTAAGTAAATAAATTTAAATAAATTATAAGCAACTTGTGCACTACACTACTTGAAATTGATTTCAATAGAGTTTGATGTTAGCATATTGCTGAACTGATAAATAATCTGTTTTGAATTAAACTAAACTATTTATATCAATACTTCTAAGTATTGAATGAATAATTGACATTTTTCTTGCCTTATCCATTGTCTTTGATTTGTTTTGTTTTCTGTGAAGAATAAATGCTGTGTTACCTTAAAATGTAGCCAAAATAAGGTATGCTAGGAGGCAATACAATTAAGTAAAATACTGTCTAGGTAGGCAGCTCACTAGGTTTTAGAACAGAACATACTGTAGATCTTTCTGTCTCTGTCTTTTCAGGTGTTCAGTTTGGAAAACTCTGGAATGGCGAAACAAGTGATCGAACAGGTGAGATTTTGAATCTAAGAAATATTTACCTACATGAGTTCAGACAGGATTGATTGGTAATGAAAGTTTTTATTTCCTGCTCACAGGTGCTGCATGCTAACTCACTGAAACATGGAGTACAGTTGCTGGAAATACGACCTGAACAGCTCTCATTAACTGACTTAGAAGGAAATCAGGTACAAACTAAACCGAATGTGTATAGACCGTGATGCCCTCTTCTGCTGTTTACCAAAAAATCCTGAAGGAGAATGTCCGGCCATCTGTTCGTGACCTCAAGCTGAAGCGAACTTGGGTTCTGCAGCAGGACAATGATCCAAAACACACCAGCAAGTCTACCTCTGAAACGACATGTTGTGTTCACTTGTGTTACAGTATGTTTTACTAATATTTAAATTTGTTTGATGATCTGAAACATTAAAGTGTGACAAACATGCAAAAAAATAAGAAATCAGGAAGGGGGCCAACACTTTTTCACACCACTGTATGCCCTCTAAAGCATTTGTAGAGTTTCAGAGAGACTGCAGAATCTGAATTTATCACAACAACAAATACACTACCATTCAGAAGTTTAGGGTCAGTACGATTTTGTATTTATTTTAGTGCTGTCAAAAGATTAATTGCATCCAAAACAAAACAAAAAGTTGTTGTTTATGTAATATATGTGTGTGTACTGTGTATTTGTATTATGTGTAATATAAATACACACACATACAGTATATATTTTGAAAATATTTACATGTATATAATTTATATTATATATAAATATATTTAATATACCAATATAAATATTGTATTATGTATTATTATATGTATTATGTATATATAAATACACACACATGCATGTATGTATAAGAAAAATATTTATATTGGTATATTAAATATATATAATATAAATTTTATAAATATATACATGTAAATATTTTCAAAATATACACATACAGTATATATTTTGAAAATATTAACATGTATATATTTATATTATATATAAATATATTTAATATACCAATATAAATATTTTTCTTATACATACATGCATGTGTGTGTATTTATATATACATAATACATATACACAGTACACACACGTATATTATGTAAACAAAAACTTTAATTTTGGATTAATCGCGATGAATCGTTTGACAGCACTAATTAATTTATTTAACTTTTATTCAGCAAGGATGTATTAAGGTACATTATCATTCAAAAGTTTGGGGTCCGTAAGATTTTTCTTTTTAAGTTTTATTAATGCAAAGGATGCATTAAGATGGTCTAAAGGGACAGTAAAAACATTTATAATGTTAATAAGTATTTCTATTTCAAATAAATGCTGTTGTTTTGAACTGTTTAAATAATCAAATAACTCTGAAAAATGTATCACAGTTTCCACAAGAATATTAAGCAGCACAACTGTTTTCAACGTTGATAATAATTCGAAATGTTATCAATAAGAAATGAAACTCTTCAGATTTCAGTGTTGATGGGAGAGCCATACTTCAGCACCAGTCTTCTGCCGTGGCACTCTCTGTTTTTCTGGTACTGCCGCACCTCTGTGGCGCTGCTGCTCCATCCCAATGCCACCATCCTGCCCCGTGCTGCCACACTTTACATAGTCGCTGTTGAATTTCGGGTAAATAATTTTTTGGATACTTGTCGGATATGCATTTTGTAGTATACATTTATAGACTGGCTGACTTCTGTATTAAACATTTCTGAATTTTGAATCAGGATCTGTGGCGAATCCGAGCTCCTTGTGGTACTTGCGAAGGCTTTGATGTCAGTCCAATGGATGAGATGATTCAGGTGAGTTTTGGTCTGAACACGTGTTTTGAATAAGTAGATTGCGTGAAATTTGAATGCAGTTGATTAATATGCTTTTGTGATGAACTCCACCCACAGCAATCTTTGGATTACCGTGAATCCTGGGAGGCAGAGCCACATCCACTGTGGGAATACCCATGTCGTGCTCTGACCAAACCACGGCCAGTTATGACATTTGACTTTACGCAATGTGTTCCTGAACAACCAATTAACAGTGACGGAACTGTGCCATTCACGGGGTAATATGAACATAATACAATTATTATATTGCATAAAACATAAAATTATTAGAAAATAAATATAATTGTATGTATAATAGCATTATTATATTATTACAAATATGTATGTATTCATTTAAAACATAGATGTCAAATTCATTCGTGTTTTAGCACGAATTGTAAAATGTTAAAATAGAAATTCGTAATTTTATATTATAAACAAATATATTCATATTAAAACTGTTCAAAAGTATGGGGTAGGTCATAAGTCTCTTAGGCTCACCAGTGCTGATTTTATTTTATCAAAAATACAGTAAAAGCAGCAATATTCTGGATTTTTTTTTATTATTATGATATAAAATGACTTTTCTATTTTAATGTTTTTTTTCCTGTGATATCAAAACTGACTTCAGAAATCATTCTAATATGCTAATTTGCTGCTCAAGAATAATTATCATTTCTATATAGTCTTATCAATATTGAAAACAGTGAAATTCTGACACATTTCTTTCAAGATCTTATAAAGTTATGAACAGCATTTATTTGAAATAGAAATCGTTTGTAACATAAATGTCTTTACTTTTACTTTTGCTCAAATTGAATGTCCTTGCTGAACAAAAATTCATTTCTTTCCAAAAAAAAAAAATCTTACCGACCCCAAACTTTTGAATGGTAAAATAAAAGAATAATGTATTAAAACATATTTGTATTATAAAAATACACAGCTAATAGGTATTATATAGATGATGCTAGGTTGCTCTTGAATGTACTCATAAGGGCTGATGATATTTCAGGAGAGGACGCTGTCATGGTGTCGCTCTCTGGATGGAGTATCAGCTGACTGAGGACATCACTGTAAGCATGGGCCTTACCAAACCAGTCAGCAAAGAGGTATTTGCTAAAATTACAAACAATATCTACATTCAGATGAAATGTCAGTCTTCATAAATCTTCCTCAATGAAGCTGAAATTGAATTTCAGATAAGATTAAACTAATCGTGTCATTCTCTTGACCTCTTCACCTTAATTGCTTTTCTCATTTCACAGGGAGCTTGTGAATGGAACCCACACCGGAAACAAGGAGTGTTCTTCTTCAGATCCACAAGGGAAATTTCTGGGGATGGAAGGGAAGATCTTACCTATAATTTAACCTTTGAACCTCATACTGGTGACATTAAAATGGACTTTTCCGTCACCAAACCTTGACCGCTGACCAAGATTCAAATAAACTAGGCCATTAGTTGTTAACATTTTTTCCCCAAGACAATGCTTATCCAAAGAGTTTGTGACTGTGACCTTGCATGAGCTTTTGTAACTTTTTTTTTTATCCTATTCATAAAATGACTTCTAAACAATCGGATGAATTATAATGCATTTAGCTATGAGCTATAACTTTGTGTTGTGTGCAGATTCATTCTGATTGCATACTATGATGGATCAAACTGTATGGTGCTACACAAGTCTCATGATGCTGTTTTAAGTAGTGAAATGAAATGTTGTCTTGCAGTATAAAAATGAGGCGAAAGTCTGTATTTAACTATTTTAAGCTAAAATCAAATGCTTACTAAAATTAATCACCGTATTCTATACAGAAGGCAAAACACACAAGCAGCTGCTTTGGATTTTCAAATAAAACAAATTACACTCAACGTGGATATTTCGTTCTTGTACATGATGTGATAATATAATGCAAAGATTTATTCTTTTTTTTTTTTTTACCATTTACTGATTGAAAAGAGACCTTTACAACCAAACAGTGCATAACATTTTCAGTTTTTCAGCAACTTTAGTGCATTGCATTGTCAAATGACACTCTGTGAACTGCATCCCTGTTGATTACACAGATGGAGATGTAATCTGGGCCTCAATGTTGCAGAATGGTAACGGAATGTAATAATATCTCAAAAGTGAGTGTCTATGCATCAGCTATATCAGTGTTGGCCAGCAGAACCTTCTCTCCAGGTTTGAAGGCAGGCATGCCTAAATATGGACAACTGGCACATCGGAAGGCATCGCCCAGATAACACTACAGAGGAAAGAATAGTCAGGTGTCAATGTATACAAAACTTCAAAGTCATCATTTATACAAAGTAATATATGTAATTATAAAAATACATACACTTCCACAGGCTGATTTGGGCTGGCTGGCTTTCTGAGTTGCTGTACTCTCCTCTTCCAATTCCTCAGCAAGGCCACATGTGCTACAGACCAAGAACAGTTCTATTAATTAGATGGATACACTGTTTTCAACATTATACGTTCTTTCCTTTAAGGTAATCACCAATTTTTGCAGGCCTTCTTTTTCTTTTTGGAGTCATCTCCACAGGAAGCCTTGAGAGATGACGGGTCAGGCTTTTTCAGATCATCGGCATCCAAAAGCGCATCTGAATCCACCAAATCCTTCAGAGTGAAAGAGCAGAACAATGTGGTGGGTGATACACAAAAGGCACAAGATTGACAGAAGCCAAAACCGATCTTTACATACCACATCATCGTCATCCATATCATTGGCTGATAGAGTCCACTTTTGTGCGGTGCTTGGATCAAGAGCTGGTTTCTCTGCAGAAAACAAGTGTTGTGTTGTGGATTTATTACGTTGTACATTTTTTATTGATGTGAGCTTGTTTTTGCCACAAAATAAAAAATAAAGATAATTATGATCTTTCATCTCACAATTAGAACTTTTTTTGTATTTTAGTTTTTTTTTTTTTTTTATAGAAGAAAACATTTTATTGTGTTGTAACGGAATAAAACTCAATTCTTTAGATACAAGTGATATGCTGCAATATACAGCAAACTCAGAATTGTGGGGGAAAGTTCAGAACTGGGAGATGAATTCTCATGAACTTATGTTACATTTAACACATCAGTGCTTAAAAACCACACACCCGTTGTAGTGGTTTTCTTGCCAAAGGAAAGTTTCAGTTGCGTCGAGGATCCGACCTCAAAGTTAGGTTTAGATGCCGACATGCGCACCCTTAAAAGCATGTTTCCCTGGAACCCTGTGAGTTCTTTCAGAGCTGTGGCTGCCTCTGGGCTCAGCGGCTCGGTCTTTACCTGGGAAAAATATTTGTGTCATCAGTCAAGTGTTCATGCGAGGCATTTGTTTTTAATTAGCAATATTATTACAATCGTTATATTTTTATTATAATAAACATTATTATTAATAATAAATAAAATAATAATGATGAATTTAATGATGCATATAATTTTCAGTTTGTTTGCATCAATGTGAAATTATTATTAGTTACTATTATTATATTTTCATTGAAATCAACGTATTAACTATAATTCTATTTTATTTCTATAAATACTATATTAATAATGTGGAATAATAATTACTTTTTAAAAAAGGATTACAATTATCAGTATTATTAACTGGTATTACAATAATAAACATTAATAACAATAATTTCAAAAGGCTAAAAAAAATCAGTATATTTTATATCTATATCACCCAGTCCTACACCGAATCAACTTTAAAAAAAAACAACAACACTGAATACTGACCTCAGTGAGAGATACTAATCCAGACAGTTTAAGAGCTGACATTAGTTTCCCAGCGGTTCTCACACCATTGTCCTCAGAACCTAAGAAAAACATTATGAGGCAAACTATTAGCTCGGATTCATTTCACTTGAGAATGTTGTACAGACTGTGCCGTTCTGAGTAAGACACCTGTTACCGGCTCTTCTAGCACAAGTTTGCCACCAGGCTTCATTACTCTGGCCATCTCAGCCAACATTTCTGAACTGTGGATTGGTGAGCTGTCGGTCAGCAGGCCTGAGAGAACCCAGTCATAACTTGAAGCTGCGTGAGAAGCTAAAACAGACAGATTTTGTAGGAGAATGATTCCTTCAATTCTTTATCTTAGATTGAGACTTGAAAGTAATAGAGGCTTTGTACTTACAAAGTTGTAGTCTCTCCATGTTCTCCAAAGATACCAGACTCTGGTTACCAACAGCAGTGCCAATGCTTTCAGCAAACTCCTTCAGTGCAGTGGGAGATGATGGCTGAGTCCATATCAGCAGCACCCCGTCCCCCTCCTTCAGTCCAAGGTCTGCCATCACCTACTAATACACGTGTATATCAATATTAAAGGCTCAAATACGTGTTTTGAGCCTTAGCTACACCAAACATTACAAATGACCATTTACAGTAAGATCTTCTGCACCATAAGGACGGTGCAGTAACAACACGACGTAAACACACACCATTGCGTTTCAGAGCTACATATCAATAACAATGTAACGAAAGAGCTCTTAACACGCCATTCAGTTTAGCCAAAAACCATTTACAAAACACTCAAATAAACAGAACGTTCACAAAAACTAGTTTTTCCTGAAAAAAAAACACACAGCTTATCCAACCTGTTAAAGAATGTTTTCCCAACACCGGTCACAATGGACGTCGCAGTAATGTCGCAGGTTATTGCACGTAGGCGTCGCGCTGAAATGATGACATTTGCTGTTTCTAGAATAAAAGCATAGAACGGCCATCAACATACTGGCGCAGAAGCTTTCCCTAATTGGGTAGTACAATAGACATTAAAAACCGGTGTTCATATTTAAACTCTTTCGTGTCTATTATCAATGTAATAAAAAAGACAATTTCGTAGTGTCATTATGCAGCTATCAATTGTTACTCAGACCGCCGTTGCTGCAGCACGTAGACGGCGTTGTCACGTGGTACGTGGTACTTTTCTCCGCGCTGTTACAATGGGCCAATCACCTCCGCTTGCGGTTACCTAACACGGCGTTTTATGTAATACATTTCTCAAAGACTGCTGAGGCGGATATAGATTTTATATCAGATTCTAATGCATTTAAATAAATACATTTACGTTATAGTGCTTTATATTATAGAAATGACGACAGCGCGAAATAAACGTAGTGAGATTTGAATGCAGCTCAACGGCGAATTCGGTTTATTGGGCCGCCGAGCGCCTCCTAGAGTAACACTGGTTTTTAGCAACAGTTTTCAGCTGACAACTTTTGCTATGTTGTGTATCGCAACGCTAGCCCGCTGTGGTTGGATATGGCGGCGCTGATTAGAGGACTGAGAGCTGGAAGGGCCTTGCGGGGTCTCGGCGGCGGTAAGCGGGGAACGTGAGAGGCGGCTGGCGTTAGCATTTCAGTCCGCAGTCTCGGTTTTTAAAAAGCTGACAGTAGTCAAGCGTGACAGCTGCTGAGGGCTTTTGTGTAAATCGTTCTGCCTGCTTCCAAGTATGGCAAATGTAAGTCAGCTGGGCGACTAGAGAAGGTTACCATGAAGGGCAGGATTGCGCTTGCAAACAAAAAGTGTAACGTTATATGACAATCCATAACATTTGAAAACTCTGCGATTCAGCCTGATTGCAAATGCATATTGAAATAATGGTTAACTTGAAACGAGCTGGTTGAGTACAGTTGCTCTGCAGAAAGTTCAGTTTAGTGCTTAAAGCAGATTCTTTCCTTTGCCAAATAGGGAATATAAATACATGCTAAATTTCCTGTTAACTCTGGTTTGACTTTCACTCCATTGCGTCTGACCCATTATATGTGACCCTGGATCACAAAACAAGAATCTGAGGGTGCAAAAAAAATCTAAATATTGAGAAAATCATTCACCTTTAGAGTTGTCCAAATGAAGTTCTTAGCAATGCATATTACTAATCAAAAATTAGTGCTTGTGGTGTTCGGCCAATCACAATGCACTGGGTCAGCTGGCCAATCAGAGCAGACTGCGCTTGTCGGAAGGAGGGACTTTGTAGAAAACGAAGCGTTTGAGAGAGGCGGGGCATAGAGGACCTACAATAATGTACAGTATTTGAAAAATAATGTGTTTTTTGAACATTAAAGCATGTCAACATATTCTGTTACACCAAATACACAAAATAATGATCTTTAAAAAAGCATCATATGACCCCTTTAATATCCTAATGATTTTTGGCATAAAAGAAAAATCAATAATTTTGACCCATACAATGTATTGTTGGCTATTGCTACAAATATACCCCAGCGACTTTAGACTGGTTTTGTGGTCCAGGGTCACATATGAGAAGTAAAAAACTGAAGGCTCATTGTGCAAACTTTTAATTGTTACATTGCAATGCTTTTATTAATATAGAACCTGCTATATGATATAATTATAGAGCAATGTGTTGCATGGTAATTATGTTTAATGCACCTTTACAGTTGCAGTTCAAGGCACACGCAGTACCCAGTGCAGCAATGTGAGACGTGGATTCCATCGTGCCGCCCTGTTACGACTGGCCAGTGACTCTAAAAGTGACACATCTGTGCCACCTCCATCCTACCATGAGGTTCACACAGCCGGAGAAAGCTCATCCTCTTCAGCACAGGGAGAATCTTCAGAAGATGCCCAGCCAAACACCAGGTTCGAGCCCCAACTCTCCAGACCTGATGAAATACAAGAGTTAAAGGGATAGTTCACACAAAAATGAAAATTACCCCATGATTTACTTACCCTCAAGCTATCCTAAATGTACATGACTTTCTTCTTTCAGACGAATACAATCGTTATAATAAATATATATATATAAAAATAAAAGCTCCGCCGGTGAGAATATGCTAATCTTGCGAGAACCAAGTTTTGTTTACAGCAAAGGAAAACCAGTCTCCTCTTGGCTTATATAAAAATCTTTCGAGATTTTCTTTTACAAATCCTCGTTTTGTACTTCTGATTTGTGACCTTGTGTTTTGTTTTGCTCTCTCGTTTGTGCTTCCGCATTCGTCAGTTCTCACTGGAGCTTATGTCCCTATGTCATCTGCTGGAACACCACTCTCTCGTGAACGCTCGTGCGACAGTTAGCGAAAGCTAAATTTTAAATAAGGATATTTTTCTTAAATAAACAATTTTATTAACCCCCTGGAGTCATGTGAAGTTCTTTTTATGATGCATAGATGCACTTTTTTGGGCTTCAAAATCTCAACAGCCATTGACTGCCATTATAAAGCATGGAAGAGCCGGGACATTTCTTTTATATAACTCCCACTGTATTTGTATGAAAGAAGAAAATCATGTACTAGGATGGTTTGAGGGTGAGTAAATCATGGGGTAATTTTCATTTTTGGGTGAACTATCCCTTTAAATTCGTCAGCCTTGCAGTCATTTAATCTAACCTTGTCCATTTGGCATCTCAAGTTTTCAAGATCAGAGTGGTGAACACAGTGAAGACTATGAGACGGAAGAGCAGCTCCAAGTTCGCATCCTGACTGCGGCTCTAGAGTTCGTTCCACAGCACGGCTGGAATATGGAGGCCATCACAGCTGGAGCAGAGGTTTTTTTCTTAAAGCAGTTATGTAAATATTAAATGTAAATATTGTAACTGTAATAATATGCTCTGTGATTCAGACTCTTGGCCTGTCATCAGCTTCCACTGGGATGTTCAACAATGGAGCTGGAGACTTGGTCCTGCATTTCGTTGCGCAGTGTAACGCTCAACTTACTGAGACACTCGCAGAGCAAAATAACCAGGTCCAGCTTGGCCAGGCAGAGTGAGTTTAATGTTATTAATTATTTAACATACTGATATACTTGAGAAACAAGTGCTAACTGTGGACCCTTTTTATATATATATATATATATATATAACTGAACAAAAGAATAAATTAATTTAATAATAACAAAAAAAAACTGAACTCAATAGTAATTTATTCCAAATAAACATAAATAAACAAATCCTCATCGTTCACATCCATATATATATATGGATGTGAGATTTCATTGTACAGCCGATACGACTCACCGATTACTCTAAAATTGAAACGCCTTGTGTTGAGGTTTTTATATCCATATTCATGTAAAAATTTTATAATTGTGAATTTATCTGTTTTCATGTAAAATTGTCCCCCACACATAATATAATATAATATATGGATTTATTTATGATTATTTTGGACATATGGAAATATCACGTGTTTAAAATCTAAGTTCACTGAAAAGATGTGAACGATGAGGATTTGTTTATTTATGTTTATTTGGAATAAATGACTTGAGTTCAGTTTTTTTTTGTTATTATTAAATTCATTTATTATTTTTTTTCAGTTATTGTATTTTTTCTTGTGGATTATTTATGATTATTTTGGATAAATTATAATATCACTGGTTTAAAAACTGAGTTCACTTGTTTTGTTGTTGTAATTAGCATTAAAGGGATTAATATTGCTTATTTATATTCTATTTTTGGGCAAATGATAATAATGCATTAATATCTTGTGTATAAATAATAATACTTTTTTTTTTGTTGCTCTATTTAAAACCTACATACATTTTTCTTATGCATTAGATCAAAGAAAACAGGCGAGTTTCTGAAAGATGCTGTGGAGATGAGACTGCGGATGTTGGTTCCTTATATTGACACATGGCCTCAGGTATCCTCTGCCTCATGCAAACTCCTCTCTCAAAACTTCAGATTTTTCGTTTTTAAAAAGCAATAATTTATAAGAACTGATGGATGCCCTCAGTGTTGTGTCTCTTCTGGCTTTGCAGGCCATGAGCATCCTGCTACTGCCCCACAACATCCCCGACAGCCTGAAGCACCTGTCCACGATGGTGGATGACATCTGGTACTATGCAGGGGATCGCTCGACGGACGTGAGTGGCTTCTTTGATCCCACTCGCTACCTTCTTCCTTGCTTTAGTCTGCTCATCCACCAGTGTTTCTTCTGCATTTCTCTTAGGTCAACTGGTACACACGGCGGGCCGCACTGACAGGGATCTATAACACCACAGAGCTGGTGATGGTGCAGGACTCCTCTCCTGACTTTGAAGAGACATGGGCCTTCCTCGACAATCGCATAAAGGACGTAGTTAACATGGCAAACACGGCTAAACAGGTTAATGCAGTCTTGCTTTCCATAGCTAATGAGGAGCAAACAAAAAAAATCATTTTTGCTCCTGGTATATATGCTCTTGTAAACATTATTACTAATATACTGGATAATGTTTGTTGTAGGTGCAAGCCACAGGAGAAGCCGTGGTTCAAGGACTTATGGGAGCCGCAATTACGGTAACCACACTAAAATGATACAATTTCCAGAAAGAAATATATTAGCCCTAATATCAATTCAACTATTATGAGTGGTCTGTATTTCAGTGATTATATGAAAGAGAAGTGTTTGCCATGTTTAAGTCTAGTAAATACTTAATTTGTATTTTTTATTAATTTATAAATATGAATAATTATAAATTAGCTATATAGTCTCAAATATTAATGCAAGTTAGTAATGATAAATATTTTAATTATTACTTTTCTATTTTAATTATAATTTAGTAAATATTTATTACTTTACATTTTCTTTTTGATGTTCTTAATTGTTTAATGATTGAATATTACACAATCCCTAAAATTAAGGTTTTAAAGTGTTTAAACAATTATTTATTTCATTTGATTTAATTGTAATAGTAAGCTCTCTTCTCACTCAGCTGAAGAACCTAACAGGGATGAACCAGAGACGATGAGTTTCTTCTGATGCGCCTGCCTTCGTTTGGTCATGTTTTACTTATCGACTCCTCGGTTATGCAGCACAAATGTCTGATACTTCACTCACCCGCTCTAAACCAACTAAACAATTAGAAATTATTGCAATGAAAGTATTTGTGTTATGATTCAGGCTGGATTGTCACACCATTAGCACTCTGAAATGGGTCAGCTGTGCCATACTAATTCCTCTATCTGTATCTTAACCTGAGCACAATGAAGAGGCCGTTTTCTTTTCTGTCATTTCTCTGTATTTATAAAAAGAAAAAAGGAAGAATATAAATGTAAATTGTATTTGAGAGTCCTATGTCCATACTGTTTGTGTCAAACTCACTGGCGAGTCCCTCATTAAAAGAAATAAAGGGTAACCTATTTACTGAACAGTGTCTTGGTCTGTTATTTTTGTTGTTGCAGGTTTAACTTTCCCAAAATGTTAAAAATGATACATTTCTCATATTAATAAATACTATGGTTTACAGTTGTAACCGTAACTGTAGTGAAGAATGATATTTTGAGATAATATCATAATGGCTTGGTTAGTGAGCGCTTTTAACAACGCAGTCCACAAAAAACCGTTAATATAGGACTTCTATTCTAGGTTAACGCGTAAAGATTTCTGAGGACCTTTATTATGTTTAACCGGAAATAGTATTATAGTGATCCGGATGCTAACGGAATGAGGGCAGCTAGTGACCAATGAGCTGCTGTCGTTTGTTATTGTGCTGAAGAGGCGCTCGCTCGGTGCTGGAGCGAGTGAACAACGGGACCGCATATGTAATTATTTTATTTATTAGCGTCTTAATCTTGAGCCTAATTTCGCTATGCCGTATGCCAACCAGCCCACAGTGAAAATCACAGAGCTGACGGACGAGAATGTGAAGTTTGTGATCGAGAACACGGATCTCGCGTGAGTGATGCGAATACTAGTCAAAACGATCATTTAGCGTTTAATTAAAGCAAGTGTGTTATATTAATAACATTGAAATGCATGTTTATTGAGTTATCACTATCAAAAAAGAATATGTTAAAAAAAAAATTGAGGAACATGTAAATACTATGGTATATGCGTCTGGTAAGAACCATGCTGCGTATGGTAACGTGGTATTATTATTGTTTTATATATATATATATATATATATTACACACATACACATGTATATGGGCCATTCTACAGAATTGGTGCAAACTGCTGTCCCACAACCAAAAAAAAAACACATTTAAACAAAGCATTTAAGTATTCAAATCTTAGATGATTACTAAGATCCTTCACAATAACATTTAAAATATTAGTAAGCTTAATATATATAAAATCATCATTTATTGCGTACTTTCGATTGGGAGGTGGCTGTCCCGAACCCTAACCCCTAAATGTCAACAAATGAAAATATTGAAATCATTTTTCTAATTTTTTCCATTGCTGTTTTTAAAAGTATCTTTTTAATTATTTTAAAATATTTCAAAAAGTGTATATTTTCTTTGTAAATTATGAAACTTTATGTAAAAAACTGTGTCCCACATTTTTCATGTCACTACCGAAACAGTGTATGGTTTAGTCCAATGGCTGAGACTGAAACTACACCCCTAAATTTATGATCTGGAAATATTCCTGTGTCCCCCTGAGATAGGTCTCATCATTTTGAGGTACTTTTTTTTTCTTTTTCAAAAGTCTGAAAATCTGTGTGTAACTTTAAGGAACGTTACTACCGAGCACCTTTTTTTCTGCAATTACTTTACTTTTACTTTTTACTAATGAGGAGCAAACATCCAAGACGCTTTTATCCAAAGCGACTTACAAATAAGAAAAAGTAATTAAAACTAAAAGCTAAACGCTTTTAAGAAAATAAAATAAATTAAATAAAAATGACAAATGCATACAACAACATTTCAAAACTAAAACATTTAAATGAAAACAAAAAAACAAAGCTAAAAACAATTAAAACATACACAAATAAGAAAAAGTAATTAAAACTAAAAGCTAAACGCTTTTAACATAAAATGTGCTGCACACATCTGAATATTTGGGTTGAAGTGTTCTGGAACAGTGTTGTAAATACAACTTAACCACTGATTTCTAGTCGTGTCCATTTTTGGAAGACCAAACAAAGTAGTTTCGCTTTCACAACGAAACACAGCGTCACACACGGCGGCCTACAGTGAGCAGAGGCCGGGGGCTAGCGTGAGGAACGGCCGGAGAGTTAGAGTAAGCAGAGGCAGTTGGGCTTGAGAATGGCGCGGCCAGCGATTTCGATGAAGGAGGGTCCGGAAGGACATGTGACGACCCCGGGCTGGACTCTGCTTCATTCACGGTGAAAGCCGATCCGGTGATCCACAGCACAAAGTTGTAGTATTTCCTTAGCGACCAGCACGGATCAGCAAAGGAAGACCAAACAAAGTAGTTTCGATTTCACAACGAAGCACACGGCGTCTTTACGACATGGCGGCGGAAACAACAAAACTACAGCGAGAATAAAAGTTATACCGTCTTTCTTTGTGTGAACATTTGGGCAGCGTTATGCAAATCTTCCCACATCCTGACCTAGACATGTGGGGGCGTGTTAGAATGAGCCATTTAGGTAGGAGTGGTTGACACTTTTATAAAGAATATCTCTTTGGATTTGAGACTTTAGTCTTTGCAACTTCACAGATCGTCTTTATGCACCAAGATCTTGTAACACTCCAAAGAGAAAAGAAAAATCGAAATCGGATCATATGACCCCTTTAAGACCTGATGCACGGATCCGATATAATGATACACTTCACATCCAATTTCTTTCTCAGCTGTTTTCATTCACTTGAGATATAACTGACTGCATTTACCTGAATGATTGTCGAGATGGTTATTTTGTCATAATGTTATGTGTATGTGTCTGTTCAGAGGATTCAGAAGAGCTTCATGTGTGTGGGGCTGTGCGTGTAGAGAACAGCGCGCAAGTAACAAATCGAGTTCCCTTTCGCCTTTTCTCTCTGGAATTGTTTAAAATTCGCTTGCTTGTGTAAATACGAACAAATTATCAACTTATACTCTATTATGGTTAAATTTTGCAATTAATCCGCGGGTCACATGCGTGCCGAACCGTGGGGCTTGGTCCGTATATGATCCGTTTAACCACTATTATCAACTAAGATGTTATGATAGTTTTTGGTTCAGTGTATATTCAGACTAATGAATCCTTAACTTAAGTATGATCAACCTTTTGCCTTTTACAAAGAAAAGTTGGATTCAAAATACAACAAATCTCATAAATTACACTTGAAATATTGTTAAAAATGTAGGCCTAATTGTTATTGATTTACCAAAAATATATAGATGTAAGCAAAATGTTAATAGGTCAATATAATCTTTCTAATTAAATTATTATTACTGTGTTTCGGTAGTGACAAATTTGGGGATAGGACTAATATTCAAAACAATTCTGAAAATACAATATGACAATTAACTGCACAATTACTAGAAATGTGTACCTTGGATATTATTCAATTTGCATACATCCAAAAAAAGTTTTTTTTTTCAACTCTGACTTTGGACCAATTCTGTAGAATGGCCCATATATATATATATACGTATATATAATTAGACTATATAAATATATAAACATTAAATGAGAAATTAAAACTAGAAAATAACTATAATAATCACTCAGATGTATTAGTATTGATCATTTGGGGATTTCGTACAGACATCCTGTTGGTGAAGCTGCGGAAGGGTCAGGAGCTGCGTCTCAGAGCATACGCTAAAAAGGGTTTCGGCAAGGAGCACGCCAAATGGAATCCCACTGCAGGGGTGGCGTTTGAGTACGACCCAGACAATGCGCTGAGACACACGGTGTACCCAATTCCACAGGAATGGTATGGGTCTTATGGCATGGTTTGAGCACATTAAATGAGTATTATTTGTAATCAGGTACACAGAAGTATTGGTTTAGGATTTGCTTTCAAACAAATTTCACTCAGAAATTCTTAGTAAATTTTACAAAGAAATGGCAAGTAACACCTAAAATAAAATGTGGAATTTTTAAGACTGAATTAGTATTGTCTTGTGAAACGTACTCCAATAATGGACTGCAATTTTTTTTACAATGTACATAAATGAACACCCGGTTCTCATAAGATTGCAAAAAAATATATATATATTTATTATGTACACTGTAAAAAAATCTACCATCCTTAAAATGTGATTTCCCCCCCATTGTTTTATATTCATTATTCATCAATGTTTATGTATTTAGATAATCTTCATATATTTCGTTTTGCTTTTTACTTGTCAAAAAATGTAGTGTATAATTATGTACCTTTGCTCACCTTTTGCTTGTCAGGCCTAAAAGTGAATATTCAGAAATTGAAGAGGATGGAGTTCAAGCTCCATATGATCCTAATGGCAAGCCAGAAAGGTAAGGAAGTTAAAAACCATACATACATGCATACATAAGGATATATGCTTGGGAATTATTGTCTTAATAAATAACCCTGTTTTGTTTGTTGAAAGTGTTAAATAATTTAATAATGTATAATACAAATAACAAAAATTCTAATCTACAAATACTAAATAACTGTGATATTCTCTTATTGTATTATGAGAAATTATTTTGCTATATTATGAGAAACTTAATCACAACCACAATATTGCTTCTAGGCAACAATGACATTTAAGCAATTTCTCATAATATACTAACAATGTATCTTTAAAATGCAGCTTATTTACTAAAATATCTTTTTTTATGGATAAAAAAAAACATTTCTGAAGGCATGCCTCAATAGAGGGTTAATACAAAAAAAGAACATCTACATGATTTTTTTTCATCCAGGTTCTATTACAACGTGGAGTCCTGTGGTTCACTTCGGCCGGAGACCATCGTCATGTCGGCTTTCGCTGTACTTAAGAAGAAACTGAGTGATCTGCAGACACAGCTCAGCCATGAAATTCAAAGCGATGTGCTCACCATTAACTGATGTTAAAATACTGCTTATTTTGGATCACGCTTTTGGGGAAATATATTTTTTCAGCTGTTATGTTTCTTTGCATGAAACCATGTTATGTTGGAGAATTCTATGAATAATAAACACGTAAAAATATTGTTGTTTCATTACAGGAGTTGCACAATGTGGGGGGGGGGGGACACTATGAACACCAGAGGGCAGGGTTTGTGTGAAAATATGAGGCCATTCTGTTGATTAATACATGATTGAAACATAAGAAGACAGCGTGTATGGTCATGACAGAGATATGACATGAGAACATTTTATTTCAAGCCAAACAAGCCCTGAAATGGATGTAACAAATTTACAGAAACCGCCCCGAGACAAACTATGTAAACGGAACACATGGAAGGAACAAGAGCTACACGAGTTCGACAACAGATGGTGCAATCATATTTATTTGTCCCGTAAATTTTGGTTGTTTCAAATACATAAGTATCGAGGGATCTGGAGGAAAGTGCGATCATGAATTCTAGTTTAGCACAAAATTACAGCAACATAGATCATGTGAATGCATTCCTCACAAGAAATGTGAGAGACAACTTGTAGTTGTCAACAATGAT